TTATCATGCAAAAAACCGTTTTCAAAAAAGGCTCCATGTCCTGTAAGACCTTCCTGGTAAGTTCTGCACAAAAAATGTAGAGCTGGCATGTCGCACAATCTACATTCCACTAAAGAATCTCACTAAACAATTTGATTTTATTTATTTATCTACCAATACGTTGTATAAGACAACGTTAGAAACCAAACCAGAAAAAATAGAACTATGCCTTTTCTATGAGTTTTGCTGTTGAGCGCCTGAAAGACGCCCGAGAGCCTGAGAAGTAGTTGGATTTACTGAAACGTAAATATGCAAGACCTGCCCTAACCGTCAAAAAGGTGCGCCTAGTAGTGGCTTTAGGTCTGGAAAAGACAATTCAAGCTGACCTCCCCTGGTGATAGATGGAATAAGGCTGTAAAATTGAAAACTCTTAACCGCGGATCTGTCGCCGAGGAGATTGTGAATAATACATAGGCCAAAGAAAGTTCGTCTAGACTGAAGAGAAGGAAGTTTATAAAACTTTTTTCGTATTCCGGCCTTTGGGATCCTAGCGTACAGTTTGTGGTTGAGTTCACAAGATGTAGGCTTCACTCAAAAGTCCTAAAATGATGTTCAAGTCAGTTCAATATCAATGAAAACGATGCTAACATAACAGTAACATAATTACTCATAGCTACTCAGCAAAGTATTAAATCATCATGTGAATTTAAGGGCTTTTTTTCCAATTTCACTCTGAAGTTGATGAGTTCCCAAACTTTTGACGCGCCACTTCTTATAAAAAAACATATTTTTCAATTGCTATTTTCGATTTCCAGAAGTGGTGTTGCACATCGTATTCTAAGCCTGATTTCTCATATAATATGCGAATTCGGAACAATTTCGTTGTCTATGGATGCGCTAGGTCAAAACAAAAAAGTTTCCAAACTTTTGACCGCTACTGTAGCATAGTAACTCCATTTGAAAAAGGAGATCATGACAGAGATTCAGCATTCTCGACATGGTGACGTTCCTTGAACTCCTTCAGGAAAGAAGAACTGCTGAAATAGTAGGAGAGAAAAGCACCGAAACCTATTTATGCCAAAAAGTAAAACAGTAAAGAAGAAGAAAAACATGTAAGAAGCCGTCCACCGTGGAGCAGTGGCGAAAAAGCTGGACAAAGAAAACCTGGCACAATATTTCGAGAATATGACGGCAAGCAGAGTAGTGCAATGGGATACAATTGCCTTTTGGCTCTGATTGCAAAATCACGAGTACGCTCGAGCAGCAGGTCATGCAAGGCTTTTCCAAGATGCCGCATTTTCAGCCCGCTGTCGCTGAGCACAATTTTATCGAGAGCTGTACTCAGACTAAAGAGAGTATTTGGTACCTGGACTCCTAGATCGCGCCCAGTCGCCTGTTGTGTTGAGGGTGAACTTTACCATGGAGCAGGAGGCTATACAAAACAGAAGGATATGTTTTTCACCGAAAATGGGGTCTGAAGGTAAAGGCAGTGGGCACGCTGTCGAAACCTCACATGACTGGGGTCGTAGGCCAGCGCAGATTCTCCTCCTGATGTTTTAAATGGCTCATTTTGATTATACCTGCCGTTCGAGCTTCTCCATTCAGTACGTAGGAAAATGTACGTCTAAACGTAAAACTACGATTTCACAGCAAATGGAATATCATTGAAAAGGGTAGTGCGATTTATACTGACTGGAAATTATTAAGTTGTTCCTTCACTGCAGGTGGACCCGGCGGTGGAAAAACCAGACATGCTGCTAGGATAGCTAATGCACTTGCTGACCAAGGACTTGTTCACATTTGCATGCCCGATGTTATAAGGTACATTTTGTGGTTGATTTCATTGAACTCTCTTCAACGTTCAAATATATTGACTTCTGGGTGTTCACAGCAGAGAATAGTCAAAGAATCATTTTAGAAGCGCTCTTTCTAAATACAAGGAACAATATTCAGAATGGAAAACGGCTAATGAGCACTATCTACGAGGTTAGTTCACGTTACTATAATAATACATGAAATGATCATGACTTGTCGATTGTTTGCCACAACTAGGCTATAAATGTTAAAGGCAAAATCGAGACAAATAGGCGATCACGAAAGAGGATGAGCAGTGGGGATTGTATAACGTTGTCGGGGAAGTCTTTGTCCACTTTCATCTTCATGTTTGACATTAGTGAGGATGGCTTTGGAACCTTCATTGCGAAGCGTTAAGGGCTAGTCAGTGCACTCTGCACACCATATCTGCCGTATCATTTCGCAATAGTTGTGGCTGAAAAAATCGTCTCCGACTCAAAGCAACTTCGGGTGATTCTGTTTGCAAATTCAGGACTGTCAATATCGCACCGTGCGACAAGATACAGCAATGATCCGGCCCATAGGAATCATCTTATGCAAACTCCCAGTCTCCATCTAGTGGTCATGACCCGAAATGAACAAACTCTGTCAACTCACAAATCGGTTTATCCTTAATACACGATCACACTGGAACGAGATCCTCAGAATAACGATACAGACATTCAGCAACACAACAATACATATTAATGAATAGAGGGAACATCCCAGGCCAGCAGCGGGTATCAGATCGACCAATCGATGTGGGTCGACGGGAGCATGGCGCATCCCCGGTAGGTGGAGTAGGCAGTCAGAATCGTGACGTCAGGCGAATCCGTCCGTCCTCAGTCGTCGAGGTCGAGCTAAGAGCCTTGAATCGTCCCGTCCACGCTTTTATTCGGGTCTCATCGCTATCTCCGTTTATCGCCTGGCGAAAGAGAAACCGAGGAAGAAGCCCGAACAAAAACAATCTCGAAGGTCGACAAGATACACCTATTCCATGAGTCAGAGTTGGGCACGCTCCATCGCTCCATGTCGACCTGAAACACTTGAAATTAGATGATTGAATAAACAGATTAATGATTTTCCCTTCCCATCCTTTACAATACATATGTGATGCAATGGGTCCCTAGTGTCACGTAAGTTGCAGAACCAACGAAGTGGTTCTGCAACTTCGAAAATGGCAACTTCAACATGGGCCAAAAATCATAATCTAGGCTGACTAAGTTGGTCAAAAAAAGCGGCTTCCGAGACTTCTCGAAGAGGATCCAAGGCTTGGTACCCGCGAACGAGCAGTGGGGTTCCAGTGATCTCAATACAACTGCTGATAATTGAAATCTCCTCGGAATCAATACGGCATGTGGGTACGTCATGAGCTTTCCTTGTGAGTCGAGTGCATGCCTGAATATCTTTGCGTTCCGGAGGACTTTTGCATGCTCGAGGACTCGGTCAGGGATAACAAGTTTGTTCCCTAAGCGAACTACACGCGAAAACGGACTCTCAGCGACTCGGACGCGGGGATGTTAAATCCCGATCCCAAAACCGGAATTAGAATCTCAGAAAGCATTTCTCAGTGTATGGTTGATCTCCAAAGAAATTGTCCAATGACCGCTGTGGAATAGTGACCCCGGCGAAGTCTACTACAATTGGATCACTTCGCTGCAACCCTACGTGAGAAGCAGGGAAGGGTGGGGAGTCTACTTTGTACACGACAATGCTCCTCCACATATTGCAAGGGATTGTCAAGAAGTGGTACGTTCCGCCCCACTCGCTGTACTCACCAGATCTGTTGAAAACAGACTGATACTTATTCTTGCCGCTCCTGAATCACCTGAAAGAGCGAAAGTTTGAAATGTGTGACAGCTGCTATATATATATATATTTCTTGATAGATAGACTTAGACAAGTTTGCAAAATGGTCAAAGACTTTTTCGACAAAGTACAGAAGTGTATCAATGAATGGCACGTTGCGCTTCCCGCGGAGGAAGCGCTTGCAAAAGGACGTGTGGGCACTTCGCGGGCTCCTTCCCCATATTCATCTGTATCTATCGCAGTCACGTGCTTTGGACTAGAAAATTCATTTTCGAGTTTCCTCTAGGATCTTTGCTCAGCCAGGATGATGATGAGGGTGCTCAAAAAAGAAATGTGAATGCCGCACGTAAAGGGAGTTAGGTGCCAAGGTCGGTAGTGTGTATGTTAGCGTGTCCCCCGTACTCGTTTTTCTGGCGGCTGCGCTAACCATATCCATCCCTCGCCCGATGCTTTGGTGTTTGCAGCAGAGACGAGGGCCAGGCGTTAATGATAACATCGCCAGCAACGATGAATCTCGCTATAGCGTCAAAATATTGAAATTCAAAAGAAGAGTCTCATTTTTTCTATTCTTTGGTTTCCGCTCGATTTATTACTTTACTGCTGCACCCCCTTTGCATGCCAACGTTCAACCACCAACCAAATGTCTGTTGGACATCACTTTAATCTCACATTTTAATGAAAACAACCAGGCCTTGCGATAGTCAAAAATAAACAAAGCGAAACAGAAACAAAGTCACTCGGTCTAGGTGAGTTGATACCCAACCACCTCGCTCTCGCGCTGGTGAAGGCTGAGATGGGTCGTCATCCTGAAGCCAGCGCCTTCTTCCTTGAAGGTTTCCCAAGAGAAGCACGACAGGTTGAAGACTTCGAAAAGCAGGTAAGAGTGTTCTTATCTGATATGTATGAATAAAAGAATAAAAGGATGAAGCATTTGCCGTTGATCAATCCCCTTTTGGGATGCGGCACGCATCCTACTTCCATTTGTACATTCGTAGTGGCGTTTGAGTGCGATGTGGCCTATACAATGACTTGCGGGGGCCAGCCGATGTTCAAGTCAGTGTATTTTACCTTACCAGACAAGTCTGGTACCAATTAACCGACTCCGGAGGAATGGAAGGCTTGGTTGGCCCGGGCGACTCACGACCCAGGATTTGATCCCCGGACCGCTCGCGTGGTAGGCGCGCCACTTGTCACTACACCACTTCCGCCCGTTAGATGTATGAATATGCTCTGCAAATTCTAGGTAATATGTACAGGGTGGGCAAAAATTACGGCAGCAATCTAAATTTGTCATAAAAAGGCAATGTGGCTGAGAGGTTCCAAACTAACAAACTAACAACATCATCATATTGACGGAAATTTGTTAAACCAGAAACGATATTGCTCTTTGGAGTGGCCGCTTTTTGCATTGACGACTGAACAAAGACTTCCAAGAAGTGCATCGACCCTATTGTGTAGATTGGTGTTGTCGAGTGGTGTTAACGTTTTCTAAGCTTTCACTGTACAGCGAGTCGATTTTCATGTGATGCTTGCAACAATGATTTGCCTTCGGCGAACTCAGTACAGAACCACAGGACTTCAGTTGAGAGAGCTGTGTTGCGACCTCTCTAAGATAATAATGTTCACGATATTTTGTTGGGATTAATTTCCGGACAATTTGCGCGTTGCGGGTGGGCGCCCGATCTAGCTATGATGCCATGCATTTTTTACTAAAGGTGCTTTCAGTCTGAAGCATTCACCGAGATCAAAGGAGTTCAAGACGATTTTAACTATCAAGCTTTGCATCTCGAGCAGCAGACGTCCGAGGTGTCGCCAAACCGAGAGTCCTGCTCATATGATTCTTGCGGAAACCATCACTCAGTCCTCAACCATTAGTCCGGTTACCTTGTTCCAGACTGGCCTAACCGCAATCATTTCATCAAGGGGAACGATGGATAAATAAAGCTCATTACGGAATCGAGACAATGCCTCTCAGCACCTTTGCTTTCAGGTCCCACGTCTCAGTTAGAAGTAACGCATTTTTATGCTTGTAAACCTTTTTGGTAAGATATTGTGCAAACAATAGGCCGCAAGAAAGTGTACTAAGCCGCAGTTTCAGCGACCAAATGAAGGATAGAGCGACTGGCTTCCAGCGCTTCTTCGCATCTTTTTTTTCAGATATTAGTCGTGAAGTCGCACAAGTAATTCTTTTAAGTCAGCCTATTGATACCGGTAAACGGCCTACCAAGCTTTGTAATGATGGTTGACGCAAAGAGCAAAGAGCCGCTGAATCGCCTTGCAATGCAACAGAATCAGAGAGCTCATCGGAGCAGAGTAGGGATTGTTTCTCAAGGAGTTTAGTTGTCCTGAGTTGATATATTTCATGTGAGGAAATCAGAGCTGAATACTGATCTATCAAAATAATTACATATACATCAAAAACTCCTGGTGTTCAACTTTTCAGTTTTACTCCCCTGCATACATTTTACCAAAAGTTCCGCACACAACCGCGCGCATCACATGTGGGATTCGGTGAGAAAGGATAACCTCCAAAATACCAGGTCACATGGCTGAGGAACCAATAGTTGGATGTTTTGGAAGATGCGCAAGATGAAGTCCGAAGGTTGTCCAACTTTGATGAAGAGCATGCGGAATAAAACTGGTACTTATTACGACATCGTAAATATTCAGCACTGATATCGAGCTCGATTGTTTAGCGGTTATGGAATTTACACCATGAGTGTCGGTGTGGGAGTGAAATATGACCAATCAATGAGCAAGTAAGTAAGGAACAAGTAAGTAAAGGAAAAGTAAGTAAGGAAGGAAGCTAAGTAGGAATCACAATAGATCAATAACCAAACCCAACGATTTTGCCTTAAGAAAATTTTAAGAAGAACCTTACGAGAAGCGCGGTCGGCAAGATCATCGCTATGTTTGCCCCAATCTTTGCTACTGATCGGGTACCGAGCTATTGGCTTAGCAGCATACGCAAAGGCGATAGGAGCTGAAAAGTTCGACCTCACATAGACTCAGAATCACACTCGATGAGGACCGCCTGCGCTACGAATAGTAACTGTATCCGGACGCCATTAGCAGAACAATGTAGCAAACATCTGAGCGCGGCCTACGCTCCATGAGTCGTCATCTGAATGGAATGGACTGTAGCAGAATGAAACCTCGATGGAAGCAGCATGCATGGACTGACCATGACCGAGAAGCACGTCTGACCATCTACAGAAGCTTCAATCTGCGACCGTATATACAAGACATTCCCTGGTTGGTCACCAGTGCAGATGAGTGAAGAGTCCCCTTCGATAACAACACGCAGCTCGCTCGGTGGCTACCTCGCAGCCTGGGCGCAGCACATCAACCAAAACCCGAGCTGTTTCATTAGGGGATGTGGCCCCCGTTCTGATGGATTCGCCAGGTATCCCGTTTCGAGAGCCATTTTACTTTATGCAGACAAGCGCTGAAGGTAGCCATGGAATAGCTTCCAAAGTGGACCGCAGCAGTGAGGGAGGATGGTTGCAAAAGTCTCAAAATCCCCTTTGTCCGGAGATTCGCGCGAAATCACATTGCAATGACAACTCGCCACGTTTCGAGGAAAACTGGCTGGATCACGACACCACATCTATCGTCTAGTCCTTACGTTGCTCCATCATACCATCACCTCCTCAGCTCTATGAAGTAGCAGCTACGAGGGAAAACGCCTGCAAATACAACCACCCCAAAAACGAACTTTTCCAGCTTTCACAGCTTCTCTCGTTCTGGAAGCAATGCATCAATTCGTTCCCTAGAAAGTGGGTGCATATTAATGATTATGATGGTGGTTATGTTTTTGATCAATTTTTCCTTAGGAAAGAAAAAACTTGAAAAAATCGGAGTGTCGAAATTCGGCCAGAGATTATGGGTCAACCCAATAGTAGGATGTATTGACGTACCAAACTTCAAAATACCCCAAAATAAACAGATCAGTATAGACTTCATAGTTGTAAAAAATTGCTCCGGTTTGGGGTTTGCTCCGAACGAGTAAAGAACATTTTGTTCACGCATGAAGAATGTCAGAAAAGGGATTTCATATCCATAATCGTACCCTGTGAAGATGTTTTCACGGATAGCTGACAGGTACAAGTTGTGATGCCAAAAAGATCTAAGTGGCGCGAAATGCCAGGGTCGAAACGAATTTAATATAGTACATGAGCTCGATGTTCGATAAATCTTGGCATCGTGGTCTTTTTGGATATGCTTCTGGAGCTGTTCACTTGTCTATCGCGCGGGGTGTCTCATGCAAGGCCGCAAGCAGAAATTAAAGACACGAGTCGTGATCGAATTGCTGTGTCATTTGCTCTACAGAAAGAAAGACATGAAAAACGTTATTGGTGAGAAAAAGTAACAATCGAGATAGCAATGCGTCGCATCCAAAAAATGAAGTGTTCAACCCCGAGCCCTTCAACCCCAAACACCTATTTGCGGACTGAATAATACATGTGCAGGTCAGTTCTTTGCACAGTTCCCTCTAAATGCGTTCGTAGTGTCTGTTCATGTTTTCATGCAATGTAACATCTTTCTACAATACGAGTTTATTTTTAGGTCAAGTCAGTGAATATGGCTCTGATCCTTGATTACGATGAGAAAACGTTGCGTGACCATATGGAAAAACGTGGAATGGGCATGGAGATTATAGACCAGAGAATAAAGGTATTCAAGCATGTCAAATTTCTTATTATTGGGCCATCACCTATTGTACTACATATTCATCCACTCTTTGATCTTCTGATTGACATTCATCCTATTAGGTTGTCCCATTACTTTACATTCATTGCGTTGAAAACTCCTACAAAATGTAGGAGCCGTGAAACGCGCAAAGTAGCGCCCCCAGTGTCCTATCTGAACAATTAGTCCTATATGTACACTGCTTTCAGTGTTTATTACTTCAGTTTCCCTAGAACCTATTTTTTGAGCTTCCTTCATCATTACACCTGATTAGGATTTCAAACGCCAAGCAACGAGGACGAATCAGTGGACGTACTGGGCACGCTCCTTCAATGAACTATGCACCTGCGGCTCACTCTATTCCGGGGGTCGCTTTTTTTTATTTGAATATGGCCTATATCCAGGTAACCCTGGACTACCCTTCTCTCTACCTAGCGCCACTGAGAATGAATCTGGACGAACTAGTCGCTATTCGTTCGAACGTATACTAATTTAAGGTAACGTAATGCGGGCATTTACGTATAGTCGTGAAGATATAGAAATATGGAGTTTGTATCTCTCATGCATTGGGCCTGAATGACCTCTAAACACGATATAAAGTTGTCATGTTCCCTCTGGTTTCCCGTAGTTCGTTTCCGTGATCACACTGCATATTCACAACTTTTTTGGGCTGGGTGGAGTATGCAAGCAAACATAAGGAAGAGTAGCCTAGCTTAAAGATTTGGGAGTTCTGAAGCAAAAGCCCCTCCTCTTCTGAGCTGTCTGACGTCCATGTTCAGACCCATCTTACGTACATTGTAATCGTTTTCGCGAAGGACGTGACCATACTGTCGAAGACAAGCTTCGCGCATTTTTTCAGCAACAGGAGATCTGATCCTACAAGAGATCTCTTCTCCAAAGAAATCCCGTATGGTGTGATTGCGAATATGCGATCTGAACGCGTGACCCAGCCGTCCAGCACAGCATTTCCGTTTCCATTACACCGAACCGGGCTTCTGTTTCTTTAGTCGTGGGCTAGCACTCAGCGCCGTACATTGCCACTAGTCTTAAAACGGTAGTGTAGATCTTCGATTTCAGGCGTTCTCTAGTTTTCCTATCGCAGAAAAGCTCGTCATAGAATGCCACTTGAACCATGCGGTACTCACGCGTAAATTCACCTCAGTACCCATATTACCATCGGACGCAATTAATCCAAGATACTTGAACCTGGTCGTATGTGATAGCCCTGCACCGTTTATTCTTATAGAACCGTGTTCGCTCGAGTCAGCTGTTAAGTACTCAGCCTTTTCGACGTTTAACCTGAGTCCGAACATCGCTATGCGACCGACCCATGCTTGCACTTGCTGCTTAGGCGACTTTTTGCAGCATCACATCGTCGGCAGAAGAAACGTCCATGGAGATGGATTCTGAAGATCACGTGATATGACATCTATGACGACCGAAAAGGAGTGTTGATAGTGCACCCAAACAGAGATGGGGAATACTATTGAGGTGCCTGCTGACGATTGCACTCGTCTCTTTGGGCTCAAGTATAGCATGCGAACCCACTCAATGTTCCTCGGAGAAGTCACGTTGTAAAAGCGTGTCATATTACATCAAGCGAAACGCGATCGAATACCTTTTCAAGTCTAGGATGGCAAAATGCGAACGCTTCCGTTTCTCAAGGTATTTCCTAGCACTAGACGTGTAGTGGCATGTATGTGTCAACGGTACCACAGCCGCTTACAAATGAGTTCAGCAGCACTGGTTCTTGAGCTGCACTATGTCACGAATACGGCGATCTATAATTCGATCAATTATCTTGTGCTGTGGGAGGTGGTGGAGTCCGTTCCTCCAAAAGGTGCCGCTGGGAACTGCTCACCTTTCTGGGCTGAGCTGATCGCGGACAATGGAATGCAAGCGACAAGCCCAGCTACAGGCCGTACTACGAATATCCACGTCGCATCGTCATGGTTAGTGACGTTATGTTATTTCCGAGATAATGCTATGGCGTCTGCGGGAGCCGACGCGCACTCGCAAAGCCCGACGAGTGTGAAGAGTATGCGAGGCTCTTCGACGCAAGGATGGCGTCGGGGGCAACCAAGCTAGTCCACAAGCCCTGCAACGCACGCAAGATTCGCGTTGCGATGTTAAATGTTGGTACGTTAACAGGCCGCTCGTACGAGTTAGCAGAAGCTCTAGAGCACCGATTGATTTCTGTGCCGTGCAGGAAACGAGGTGGTTCTGGCTGCAGATCGAAAGATATTAAACGAGGCTTCAAAACCGTTCTTTGTGGTGGTTCTAGAACCACCAGAGGGGTCGGAGCAGTTGTTTCTGACCACTTCCATGACTCGATCGTAAACGTTGACCGTTTTGACGACCATTTAATGAATATTGTTGCCGTCATCGATTTCTGTCATCGATACCATTTTTTCTGCATATATTCCGCAAACTGGCTGCGCTGAGCAAGCCAAAGAGAGTTCTGGACCCTGCTGGATGAAAAGGCCGCGGATGTGCCCTCAGAAGAGGCTGCCATTGTCGCAGGTGATCTTTACGGTCACGACGGCGCTGCGAAAGACGGGTACAACTGTCATGGTGGATTTGGATATGGTCACGTAACACCGATGCGAACGAATTCTTGAGTACGCAAATTCACACGATCTCACCATCGTCAATACGAATTGCGGGAAACGTGATTCACACCTCATGACCTTCTATAGCGGTACCAACAAAACGCATATCAACTTTGTCCTCGTTAGGCAACGCGATCAAGGGCTCCTATCAGACATAAAGGCGGTGCCGTATGAAACTGTCACTCCGCAACATCGACCGCTGATTTGCACCCTGAAGATTGCTCCGAGATTGAACCAAATCGAGCGGTGTGGACAAATCAAGTGGTGGCGTTTGAAAGAGGAGCCGGTCGTGATATTCAAGCCGGCAGCCACTACTGCTGATTAAACTTGGAAAAGAGCTGCCGAGGCAGTTATCCGTTCTGCTCGTTCCGAACTCGGAACAAAAAAAAATCTGGGCGACGGAAAATCGCCAAACAAGCGTGGCTATGGACAGACGATGTTAAGGAAAAAAGTACCTGAGAAGGAGAGGCTATACCACGTATTTCTTGGCGGTAAGACTGTCGACAACTGGCGGGGTTATCGGGCAGCTAAGAGTGCAGCAAAGAAGGCTGCCGAAAAGCTGCCAATCTTGCTGATGTCAGCGAAATGCTCGAGACGCGCGATGGTGAACGCTATGCTTATCGCCTCGCCGAAGCCCCCCATCGCCAGTCTCCGAGGACCTTGAAAAGTTTTCGGCATCAACGACGAAAATGGTCACCTCCTGACGGACCGCAAGAAAGCAGTGAAGCGGTGGTATAATCCTTTCGAGAACATCTCACCTATAGAATTTGCTCATCCAGCAGTCCCTTATGTCCCGCCAGTGCAAGGTCCTGTGCCAAGAATGACCGTCGAGGAAACGGAAAGGGCTCTGAAGAAGATGAAGGGAAGAGCTACAGGTCCCGATGATTTGGCGGCCGACATATTGAAGTCAAAATGCTGGTGTCTTGCTGAACTTTTGGCCATGTTTCTCAAACAGATCGTAGGAGATAGAAAGGTGCCTGAGAGTTGGTAGCAGAGCACAACGATTCCGATTTGGAAGATGAAAACAGCCCTGCTGGCTGCAAGAGTTACCGTCCAATCCGCCTGCTCTTGCACAGCATGAAGATCTTCAAGCGATTTGTGGACGTTCGTATTCGTGACATTGTGCAGCTTTCCATAACCCAATGTGGATTTGTGTCAGGCTGCGGCACCATCGATGCAATACATGCCGCCCGCCTTCTGCTGGGAAGACATCTCTGTGATAAGAAATTACCAGAGCCAGTGAAATCTAAGGTCTACAGAACGGTCGTCCGCCTAGTCGCCATTTATGGAGCAGAGCGCTGGCCCTTGACTAAAGAGGTTGAGGCTCATCTCAGCGTAATGGAGACAAAAATGCCGCGCTGGACTGCTGGGATCATGCGTTTGGACCACGTTCGCAACGATACCATCAGAAAGCGGTTCGGTGTGACTCCCATCGCTGATAAGATGCGCGAAGCTCGCCTGTGGTGGTACGGTCACTTTCTTCGCTGACAGTGTTCGTAAGATCGGTCTAGAATTTAACGTGCCAGGAAAGCAGCCAAGAGGACGCCCGAAGCAATGGTGGCTTGAAACGTCGCATGAGGACTTGAAATTAGTTTGCCTTCATCCCGATCAGGCACATAATCGGGAAAAGTGGAAATCGGGAAAGTAGACCCCGTCACAGGGTGCTAAAGAATAAGAAGAAAAAGATCTGGGAAAGCAGACAAAATGGATGGTAGCTTGGCACTTTGCGGGGCTGCCCTTATTCTTCCAAATCGGAATTATATGTTAGACGCTAGCTCGCAAGCACTAAAACAACTTGGCTGAAGAAGTCCTTTCAACATGGCAGCACTGTGATTCTCACAGATCGGCTGCCAAGACATCGACCAGTGGCTTTACCTGATTTCATCTCCTTAAGCGCCCCTTCTGTTTCTTTTACAGTTACCCTCGAAACAATACCGTAGACCCAAGCAGAAAATATTGGCGGAGCGGATGTAAAAATTCTAGTGTTGAGGGTTTTCGGAATAGTCGTGCCATCGCTTTGCTGCCCTCTTGCGGCCCATTGGAAGCCTCTTGTCCTCGTCGTCAATGCCGAAAAAAACTTTTCGATATCTTCGGCTTGGCTATGGATAGCTTTGGCTTGTCTGTAAACGTATCGTCCACCATCGCTCGTCTCGATTTTCGAGCTAACGCTGTCGAAGTGAGCGGCCTTAACGACAGCCGCGCGCTCTTTGCGGCCCTCTTTACCTCTTGTCTCCTAGTTCTCGGCCGTTTTGTCGCTGAGGAAGGTATGATAGTCTTTTCTTCTCCTTCAGTCGCCATCACTCGATCCTTGCGGGCCCACACCGTTCAACTTGCTTTAATTCCGGAGCTTTGATCTTTAGGGTGCAGGTCAAAGATCGATGCTACGTGGTGACCGTATCGTACGGCACCATCTTCGCGTCTGTCACTGCCCTCAGTCACGCTGCCTGACGACGGCAAAGTCAATTTGCGTTCTGATATTTCCATTGTAGAATATGATTATTTGGGAGTCACGTTTGCGGTAGTTTGTTCCCGATGGTGAAATTGTGCGAGCTCGCACACTCGAGAATTCGCTCGCCATCGGCGTTTCTAGATTACATCAATAAACCGAGCCTCTAAAGATGATTTTCCAGGAACCTGAAGTAAACATGGAGCACTCACGGATACAATTTCGTCCTGGCTTGAAAGCTTAAGTTTTTTTTTGCAGAGCAGACAATTTTTGAATTCAGTAAACATAGTACATTGAGCTCACTTCCAATTATACATATGATAATGGGTATAACATCGAATAAGCGGCAAGAGCATATTTCCATTCGCAATGCCTTCATAGATTTTGCTTCACTTTCATGTTCTTTGTTGAGTGATCGCTTTATTTTATGCCGTTTTGCAGGAATTCAAACAGAAGACTCTACCGTCGGCTAAGTACTTTGACGACCAGCGTCTGCTGCACTTAGTATGTGCAGCTTCTTCTACAACGTCAATGTTACAAAAGCATCCTCGCTCACGCTGTTTCAGATACCTGGCGAAAAAGACGACCAAACGATATACGAGAGAGCGAAAGATCTAGTGCAAAAAGCAATGAGCACGGGTGTTCCAGTTCTTAACAGCAATCCTCCCAGCCAGTCTCAGCCTCGCGTAAGAAATAGATTTCTTCCCTATATATGTAATGGCCATACTGAATAGATTCATTTAGAACGCTCCCTCGCAGGAAGAAGACAGGATGAAACCACTTGACAATGGTAGTGATCCACTAGAAAATGAGGTTGTCTTCGTTAATGCTTCATATTTTCCCAGTAATCTGCATCTACTCATTCAAGGCAACAGCTGTATCGCAAAATGGGAGCGTACAAAATTTAACACCTGAGCAAAAAGCGACACCACCGCAAGAAACAACACCACCGCAAGAAGAAACAACTCCGCAAAAAGCAACACCACCGCAAAAAGCAACACCACCGCAAAAAGCAACGCCACCGCAAAGAGTCGTTGACGTGCAGCCGGAAAGCAGTGAGATTACAGGTTAAACTTTGAATACTATACTATCTACTACTTAATGTCGAAATGAGAAAAATATAAACATACACACCTCACACCATTCGAACGGTAACCGGCATGTGGGATGGCTCAGCTACTGCTTTCTGTAACCTTCGTGTCTTCGCAAGTTACTTTAACAAAACTCCTCGGCTTCAATACCTATTCACTGTCAAAAATATGCTTGTTTGGTGCTATTGCCTTCCACTTTTGATTAGGATTCTATCCCCATTTCATTATTGAAATTGTTTTGGATAATAACCAAGAAATAATTATATTGGACAAAAGGAAAATCATATGTATCTCCATGCGGAGATCCGTCAGATAGAATAAGTGGTGAAGGTAAGGCTCTTTCCGCTACTCCATTATGTTGCTGCTCATATCGTCAACATAGGAGACTTCATGTCGGCCCTGAATCGTTACGAAGTACCTAAGCTTAGACGTAGTTTCTCTACACAGAAATTAACAACAACGACGTCATACAGCATGTGTTTGGACTTTTTCACCAATATCAAGAAGTGCACACTTTCGTGTTAACTGGAATTAAATTGGAACTAGTTCCCTTCTGGCAGTCGCCTACTTGGATAGCATAGGAAGAAGTTTCCTGGTCACGGGAATTGCGTTCTACAACCGACACATAGACGATGTATTTGCGATGGAGTCTACCACCGCAATGCACACGATGTTCCTTAACAAGAAGGTTCGGTTGAGCAAGACACCAATGAGTTTGTGTGCCATAGAAGACTTATGCCGAAGAATATTATTCCGCATTCCGTGACACTCATCCACTATATATTAAGGCAAATGTAATCCGGAATATCACGATGAAGACAAGTATTTGCTCTCGAGAAACAGCGAAATTGGAGCAAACTATTCTGGGAAGAATTAAAGAGAACAGCTGCACAACGTGTGAACCACAATCACAATCAGCGTTCTTTCTATATTCTTAGGAAAATCCCACTAGTACTACTGCATTTGAACGAGAGTATTGCCGCGAAAGTGGATCAAATCGTCACATCAGCAGATCTTGCCGTGAAGCTAGTGTTTGGCCCTATGCCCAAGAATATCGGAAGCGTGCTGAAATTATGGAGACATTACGCAGAAAATGTGACTGAAATAAGTGCTCGTACTGAAAGTAAGGAAAATCAGCCAGTTACGGCCGTTTATCTAGTCAAATGTGAAGGGTGTCGTCGGAACTATGTGGGAGAAACCATGAGGCCATTGTATAGAAGAATTGATGAACAGATGCGAGCGTTGCGAAATCTCCCTTCTTTACCAAACAATGGTTTTTCGCGACATGGCACGCTTTATTATGGACAAAAACCGCCTCCTCCAATAAAGGTCGGTGTGCTACACCGCTCAAAAGAAGTCTCTTGGGCAAGGAAGTTGTTAGAGGCACCCGCCATCAAGCGGGTGTCTTTTCAAGCAAACAACAGGGAGCAGCTCATAAAGTCAATGAGGCCTTCAAGCTAAGCGCATTCTCAATGCCTTTCATTTCGTAAGCGACTGCACTAGTGTGAGGCAATTATCGTTTTACTGTTGTCAGCTGTCCTGATTTGAACTATAGTTTAAATGCGTTAATGAATTGTTACCTTGTAGAATACTCCATCAGCGAGAGCATCGGCCTGGTCAGTTAATGTTCGCGTTGATGTCTTTTAGACTTAAATTGCATGTTGAAATATGCTTGATGTTTGTTGAATGTCTGAAGAAGCTGTGATTACAGCGAAAGCTAACCAGTATTGTACTAGAGGAGTCCCAATCAACGTATTTCTAAACAGAAGGTATCTGAAATTACATTGGAAAACATTTTGAGATGAAAGGGTTTCAATATCACCCGCTTCACTGTTCGCGCACGAGGACAACCTTTTATTAATTCTATGCAAACACATTTAGTTGATGGAGACGCCACAGCTTCTGCAAGTACTCCAGTTCCAAGTACTCCAGTTCCTAGTACTCCAGCTCATCTAGCGAAACCTCCCGATACAGCCACTCATCAGAACTCTACACCTACATCACCGGAGTGTAAGTGTTACTCATGAGCTATGTATCATCTCGTATTTACTGCACAATTTTAATTGCAGCAGAAGGTGGAATGCGACGAAGCCCATTAACAGAAACAATGGACTCCGTTCCAGCTTCGTTAGCTGTTAATGCTCCCGTAATACTAATTATTGGTACGCGAGTTCCATTTCTTCCCTTTCCTAGCTCTCGAGTCGGATTATTTTGTGGTTTCTCTTCGCTCTCCCATGCGTAATTCTTCGTTTGCATTTGATTTTATTTGGATTCAGGAGCTCCTGGAGCTAGTAAAGCGGAAATAGCCAAGCGAGTCGCCCAGAAATATGATGGGTTCGTGCTTCTCTCTATGGGAACCTTGCTCAGGTCTAACATAGCAGCTCAAGGTGAAGATAAACTCTGGCGAAGGATAGCACGCAAAGTCGACCAAGGAGAACCAGTGCCATTGGTATTTCAATTCCATATAGTAACAGCATTTTCTATTTTCCAAATTGGATAGCCTTTATAGCCAGGCCATAGCCATCTCCACCGGTAAAACTTGAACCACTGAGAGCTGCATCAAAGATTGCATTGAAATAACAAAGTGCTCCTCAAACATTGTATATTGGCTTGGGGGAGGATTCCATGATAAGGTCTAAGGTCAAAGGAAGAAAAAGAGGCCTGAAGGTGCGGAACTACACGCAGTTCGCATCCACGGATATGGTCGAGCGATCTAGCATGGCCCTACGCGTGGCGCTGTAGGCGCGATTCGCCCAGCCATTGGCTAGGCACGGCCACCGCTCTCTAGAAGTTTGTTAGTGAGAGCGGTAGCATTGAAGAGGGCAGCACCAATTAGGGTCGCATAATATGTCAGCGGGTCGGAAAGGCTTGTTCTACATATTATGTGTGAGCAATTTACAAGAATAAGAAAAGTCAAAATCAGAAAACTATTTTCCTCAGCACCATGCCCTATCCTGACCGAGGCTGGACAAAAACTCCCAATGAGACATAGCTTATAACTCAGCGCTCTGATAAACTAACTCTGCACAAAAATGTTTTGGACAAAAACCATTCAAAGAAATTTGAACATAAGGTCAAATTTTCGCTTGAGATTTGGAGAACACCAAATAAGATTGCATTTCTACATTACAGAAACTTTGCCGCGGGCTGCTGTACAATGAAATACATCGAATCGGACAGTCGAACTATGGCTATGTCATTGAAGGTTATCCCAGGAACGAGGACCAACTGAAGGATCTACAGTCTGTGGTAAGTTTTTTTTTTCATAAGACATATGGTCCAAGTGCTGAGGTGCAAGACCACATTTACATATGTATGTCATGCTTGGCGGTCCAAGAATGACATATCATAAAATCGAAGTTCCCAGTAAAGTCCCACTCGATCTTATGCTTTCAGCTGGGAAGGATTGATCTTGCAATTCTCATCGACTGCACAGAGCAGTTTTGCATGGTTGCTATTGCGAAACGGCATGAGGTGGACAACGCTCAGCGCCAAGGTATGTCAATGTAAATTCGAGGTGTAGGAATCCGTCGGGACGGTATCACAGTGGCCCAAACAGTGAGTCTTAGGTGGGCGCGAGGTCACGCTCTCCCATTCCATGTTACTGCTCCGTAGCATAGTAACACAAGTGGTGTAGCCTGCTCATTCCACGTTCATACTATTAGATTGCTCATGAGATTACCATCGAATGCCCATTGCATCCAGCATAAGTTATCCCTTTGTTCCCTAACATTCTTTTAATGTCCACTAGAAAAGCTTTTTTAGCGCAGTGGCAAAGGTTTCACTCAAGAGACGATACGTTTCAGAGATCAAGTCCATGAAGTGCGAATGTTTAATAGAAATACTGGGATGTTCATTGTATCGGTTAGGCTCTAGTCGCAGTCTCGTAGTTTCTTCGTTTACGGTCCTTAATAACTACCACTTGATGACACTTTACCACCCTCCCAAGCTTTCTCCGCATTCATTCGCTATGCATTCCCGTGCTAGCATCATCTTATGGTTAGGACCTCTAGCTCACTATAAGTGCATTAGCGGCTAATCCGTTGAGTATCTTGTTTATTTGCTCCCTTCATTTTCAATGAGTTCTCACGACTCCCAAATGTTTCTCATTTCGCAGTTTCGCGAGAAGACCAAGCAATTTACAACTTTTCTTATCATAACTATATTTGCAAGACTGTTTTTAGCAACAGCTTCTATCTTTTTGGATGCATAGGCACGGACTTGTCGGAATACGTAGCCATTTTTGTGGTCATTTCATGCTGTTGCCCTAGTTTCTCCTCTCACTTCCTTGTACTTGATCAACTCCGTGATCATTGGTGCAAAAACTTTTCACCACCTTATCGAGATCTATCGCTTTTCACTGTTAGACGCAGTCCAAAGCTGTTGGTTTATCTTTCCTCACGTCAGCAGAGACGGTGCTCTCAGCCTTTGACGGTCTCCTTTCCTCAAAATATGCATTTTAGGACAACTATTTTTAGCGGCCGCTGATTTGTTTATTACCCATTAAAAGGAGAAAGATATGTATAGACATCGAAGGATCTTCAATGAAAGGACAACTAGAGCCGAAGGGGCTACAGTATGGCTCCCATACAATCGTGCGGTCTGACCATCACCCCAGGTGATGAGAAGCGATGTTTAACATCAAACCTAGCCGATATTGGAGCCTGACCCGTAGCAGTGAAGGCAAGTGCTCATCTTCTGAAGATCATACTCTATTCTGACAGGGCTGTTATGACATCGTCCATTGCGAGCTGCTATAGCTGCTTTCGCGGTGTAATGTGCCGTCAGAAGCCAAATAGATGGCAGGACCGCAGAGAAGCATACGATTAGCGGCACAATTTGATTACTGTGCCACAAGACTCGTTCAATGAAGAGAAGCTCGCTGGAAGCAATCGGCTCAACATGTGAAGTGCTGCTTCACCCACCCTACAGCCCACACACTGCTCCAACACAGCACCACTTTTCCTTTCGCCAGAGGCTATGCGAGGAAAAAAATCTGTAAAAAACGACGAAAATCGCTGGTTGAGCAATGTTTCTAGTCAATTTCAAGGCTGATCTTTGCTGAAAGCAATAGAAGTCCGCCTGTAAAATGGAGAAGAGCGGTACAACGTAGAGTCGACTACCTTGTTAGCTGGTGTACTTTCTCTCTTCAAAACCCGTCAAAAGCTTCGAAGACTTTCTCACAACCTACAAGTTCACGAAAGGACCACTTTCCGCAACCATGGCAAAAAAATTACTGCTTCGCTCTTGACGTCACTCCTCTTCCTTTCCTTTCCGAGATTGATTTCTATGCTTACGGCATCGATGTCTACACATGCATGCATACATACCAGGGTTTATCGGACAAGATGCCCCAGTTGTTCGAATTTTTCCCCCGCTATCCCTCACATTTTCTGACAATGTGACGAAGTTTGATATTTTTATCAGGCTCATCTCACGGTTTCTACGCAGCTTATTCCCAGTACGCAGCACCACCGGCTTTTCGCAGTTTCTAGACTTCTATTCTCATTTGCTACCGCTACGCTTAGTTGTGGAGAACACGTAGATGTACAATGGGGAATGAGATATGTAGTGAGCCCTTTTGTGCTGCTCCTGCTGCTGCCACGTGTATCTTCTTGTACATTTATCAACTAGACAGTGGATAGGTGAGAAGATGATGAAGAGGACGAAGAATGAATACTGACGAGTAAGAATGAATCTCACTCCTACAGCAGCTCCCTTTTATATTATCGTAAGATAAGCTGCTAGGTTAAACATTAGAACAAATTATCTGAGTCTATTTGGATTAACATTGGGCTGAGGATGGTTATAGAGAAATCTCTGTAACATGCGAGTTAGTCTTCGTTCGTATCCCGTTCTACGCTTGCACCTATGATCCCTCCTCCTTACTATCTCGATTTCGTCCCAGCTTTGCGATATTTTGCTTTTTTCGATACAGAAACTGTGCGTTAAGTAAAACCGTTGGTAGCTGGTTGCAGTTTTCTTTCGAAGTGCTATTACATCATGCAATTGTTTTCAAAATCTTTCAGTGTCCTCGCTTTGCGGGAGGTAGAAACGTAGAAATTTCTGGGAGGAGTGGTCGGGATTACCTTATGGTGAGGGGTATTCATAGGACGACGGTGCCGAATGACAAAAGACGCATGTCTTTTGTATCATAAGATGAGAGTCAACTAAAATCACACTTTCATGTACATGGATTCAAAAGGCCTTACCACTATTTCGCCCAACGAATACGTTGGAGGCAGCTCGAGGTCGAGATAAATACATTGCCAGCTTCCATTTGCTGTGGCCCGCCCCATGTGACCTAACGTTGTTATGATATGATACACAATACAGATGATGATCCAGCCGTAGTGAAGAAGAGGATGGCATCGTTCAAGGTCAACACTCTTCCAATGTTGAAATCGCTAGACGAACAAGGAATATTACGAGTGGTTAGTTGTTGCTTATAATACTTTTAAGTATTGCTCCTTGTGTTTGAAGACCAAATCCAAACATGCCTACAGTCTTAATCATTGCCACAGTGTTACAGTAGCAGTGTAGCACGTAAAAGCAGTGTAGCACGTAACCATTTCCTCCAAGAGCGGTCTATGCTCGTTTCTATCAAAATGTTCATCATGATCTTGACTTACTGCTTAGTTAGTTGTAGAGAAAGATCTCCAGTGACGGGAATAGGCTGGTTCAAGCACAGAGGTTGGGCCGGTTTTGCTGTTTAGCACAGGTTCTGAAGAATAAAGTCGGCCAGAGACACCCATCGGACCTGAATCGGCCCTTGATGGCTCCACACGACACGGGGTGCAGTGATCAATAATAGGCTGCGAATTGTGTTCCTAAAAACTCACCGACAAGAGTGCAAGCGAACATCAGACAGAAATCGCCGTTTTATTTTCAAAGGTATTAATGGACATCATTTACAACAACATGCGAAGCCAAAGTCTTCTTTTCCTATTTGTGTTACACAGGGTACACAGGGTGGAACAAGGTTTCAAAGGTATTAATGGACATCATTTACAACAACAATGCACAAGGTAACATCTCATGGATAACACAACATGGCAAATGAGATGATTCAAAAAAGAATGCCAATCAAACTTAGTAGGAGGTTTCTTATCCATCCATGGCTCCTGATATCGCCCTCCTCGAGTGCGTTTGCTTGGCAAGAATCCCGTTGGGAAGACTTCCAAAGAATAACAGGGTCTGAAAAGTAATAATGATGCCGTCTTCGAAACCAGTAGATATTGCCAAAATGATCAGTCGCCGCAATTATGTGAGGAGCGTGATTGGGCAAGGATTGATCGGCAGGGATTTCTGAAGATTTCCAGTTGAGCGTTGCAAATTTGTGCGTTGAAGTCAAATTGTGCTCACATGGTTCAAGAACTATAAGGTTCGTAAGTGAATATAGACGAAAGGCAGAGTGAAAAGTGGTGAGGGCTTCAGGAGTGGGCTGCGAGCGGTGATTCTTTGAAGATTGACGAGAAAATATCAGGCACCATGTAACTTAGTGTCGTTTTTTCACCACTATTTCGGACCACCACTATTTTTATTCAGAACCCGGGGAATGAAGCAGCTATCCATCGAATGACTTATTAGCACTTTCCCATTTAACAGTATGAGTGGAAATCTCGTCGATTGAAGCTCGGATTATTCCGCGTCAAAAAAGGGAGGCAGATCGGTGTTGACATCATCTGACAATCATCCCTCTCACTTGCTAAAAATTCAGGCATAAACAAAAAATATACAGTTAGTTGGAGTAGGGAATGCATTGCATGGTGAAATGTTACCACTTACCAGCCCAATTGGGCAAATTTTTCCGAAGCCTTTTTTGCCACATGGGTTAAAAACGCACCCTTTTTGAGCACTTGTGAGTAGCAGGTGAGCACATTTATCAAAATTCTTGCGGAATCAAGTTCGTGGAAACGTTTGTGCATCATCGATCCATTACAATTAAAATGTCTGACTGTTTAACACAAGACAGGTGCAGCTCTTTCTCGACTGGCTTAACTAGGGCCTCCTTTTTGACGGAGATTGCGGGCATCTCTTCAAAGATTTGACTGTCTTCTGAGAAAACTGTGAAAAACCGGTGAGCACTCTAGACGGTAGTACCTCCCCCTGAAATGTGTAGTATTGGTCTGATTTGCGGAATTTGCAGTTTTCAGCCCGACTTTGGAGGCATTTGGTACACACATGCTGTGCACACTGGACACAGGAATTTTCGAAAAAGTATAAAAATTAGGGGCAATAAAATATGAACCAACAGTAGAGAATAATAGGGGAAGTATTACGCAATATATAGTAATCCTCAAAAAAAAACTTTCTGAGATATTGATTTTTCATAGTAATCGACCCCAAAACTTCCTGAACTCAGACAAACGACATTAAGTTTTCCGGTGCCTAATATTTACAGCCGTCCTCTCACTAGGCCAAGAAAGCTCATGTACGCTCACCTAACACGTTGACGATAACGCGAGTTTTGAGGCTTTTTTGGCCGCGTGGGAGCGGCGCGCGAGCGCGGCCGCCTCAGGTCACTGAAGCAGATTGACAAATACATAAATAATGACTGATTCAAAGCTAGATTAGTAAATTCCTGTGAGCAGAAGCTATCCAGGGGTACAGTAGTAAATTTTGTACGTGAAATACCTATGAAGAAAGCAGAATTTGGAACTAGCTGCAGTAGACCTCAAAATCACTTTGACCTCGATTTTTCTATCAGAACACGTATATCGTCAGAAAGACAGGGGTGGCCAAATAAAGAGACACTTTGCCCATGGCGCACATCATCGAACTTTTTGTCGCACAGGGCGCCGATGTTAATGAGAGTTTTATGGCGGAATATTCCTAAGATGTTCCCACGTAAGAGGAAGTAGGCCCTTTTTCACTGTCTCCACCGTCTTCAAAATTTGACGTCATCTGTGGTCAACGTCGAGACTCGACGGTGACCACAGATGACGTCAAATTTTGAAGACGGTGGAGAGTGAAAAGGCTTGCTGTAATCGCTCCGGCCTGAGTAGATTATTTATGACACTAGCTGTTATTGTGCAAGACGCTTTTAACCGCGTTTCGGGAAGTCGTAATGGCCATGGTACATCGACGACCTCGTTGAGCTCGTACGGAGAGACATGTTTCCGTGGAAAATCTTCTGATGTAGTCAGTGCAGAAGGCTGCAAGCTTTATTGTGCAAGACCGATTTTAACCAGCGTTTCGGGAGGTCGTAATGGCCTATGGTACATCGACGACCTCGTTGAGCTCGTACGTGAGACTGTTTCCGTGGAAAAACTTCTGATGTAGTCAGTGCAGAAGGCTGCGAATTTCTCCGGATTTTTGTGCAGATTGTTCAATGTGATTGTTTGAGGCTCATTCCGCTGTAACCTAGGTCTGAGCTTCCGCAGACAAAAGGGTTGTCGAGATGTAATTGGCTTTCCCTTGTAGGAAATGTCCAAAAAACAATAAAATCTCTGAAGCGGGGGCCTCATTTCGCAGATAACTCTAGGAAACGTTGGAAACAATGGGAAGGAACTCCGCGTTTTAATAATTTTTCCCAAGCTAATATCATTCAATGATATCAATTTTTTGCTTTTATCGTAAAGTTCATTGTTGAAACCTGTTAGCTTATCGCAGCTGAACGCACTCCTCCAGCCACGTAGCGTTTCCGGTCAAGCAGGTTGTTTCACTCAGCTTTTCGTTGAATCTCAATACCCTTGGAAGCACCAAGAAGTCTTCTTTTCAATTAATTGCGAAGACATTATAATAGCCCTTCATGTCGTCCCTTGTCGAAACCTCGACTTGTGTGCCGATCTGTTTCGTGTTTTTCTGCCAAAAGTAGAAACAAAAAGAGTGCAAATGTCTTTGCACTCAGGAATGCTGGAAGGTTCATTAAAAGAGCTTGCAGATAAACGCTCCTGACCTGATCTTCAGAACCCTGAAGGAGACGGAAACGTCCAAACGCAAGAGCTAATAATGATATTCCATCTAGCAGCTCGTTTGGCAGAAGAATACAAAACAATGCCCTACACTTTTTTCTTGACTTGCTCTTCAGTATTGGTGCATAGCAATCTTAATATGACAGTTGTGATAACTTTTACACAGAACCTCCTTGGCTGATAGTGTAGTAGCCTTAATAGTGTTATTTATTAAGTGAACTCATTCAGCATGAATAAACTTTTCACTTCTCGTGTCATTTTGGATATCATTAAATGAATCAACAAACATGTAACAACGTGAACTGCAAAAACGACACCTATTAATGAATCTTTGGTTTGAGCTCAGTATTTGCCAACGAGTGACGATTCTCATCGTGGGAAAGCAACACAGGGGCGACTGTCCTTGTGCAACACTTAGCAGTGGCTGAAATGGCACCCAAAGCGCAGAGACACGCTTAAACATTTGATTTAATTTGATTTTTTTACACGAGCGTTATACTCATGTGTAAAGCACGGTAAAACAAATAACAGCAAAGCACTCAAAAACAGCATTCGTTACTAAAAAAGCGGATAAAACACAGTATACATACGTGCAATACAAACACAAATCAAAATATAAAAGTGAACTTATGAACGAGGTACTGAGGAGAGAGCAACACAAATTTGAACAACATAAGAGAGTTTAGAGAAAAAGGGTATGCAAGCAAAATGAAAAGCCTACAGCGGATGCTCGGCAACATTCTAAAGAAGGCCGAAATGTTGCTGAAACGAAACACCAATCAGAATGATTTCAAGAATACCGAGAACATCGTGCTGCAAACCACAACTAACTACGATAATATAAAGTCATACGTGGGAAAATGCTCGTCGTTCAGCTTCCCATTGCCCTCCTCCCCCTCACACCTGTCCCTATCAGAACAATGAAATATTGTGAAGCGAAATATATATATAAGTTCCTGGCCACACCGTGTAAGTCGAGCTATTTTGTAACAATCACTACGTGAAGGAGTCATATGGTATAATCTTTGGATATGCCAGAGTCGAAATTCCATTACCGTCCGTACTCTTCGGAAGATTTATACGGCAACATTTACTCAGTTCATCTAAGAAACAAGCGCAGCGGAATAGTACTGGCGGCAGGGTAGGTGACTGACTCGTCAAGCGCAGCTTCCGTGGATCTGAACACACCGGAGATCGTCGAATACCAGGCAGCGGTGAGGATGATCCAAGCGGTTCGGCTTCGGGTGAGGAAGATGCCACGATGATGCTCGTTTTGGGGATAGATCCCGTGGTCGTGAGTAGGCCTGAACTCAGTGCATCACATCACCATACCACAATTGCTCCTGACTTCCCATAGCCTAATGATCAGGATGGAAGAGCTTACGAGCTGACACTTCCCCTTCACTCGAATACGTCCGTCCTCAGAAGCAAGTTAAGCCCTCGATCTGAAAATGAAACAAGGAGAAATCTTGCATGAACTGGGCGCTGCAATAGGCCTCAGACCTTTAAATGTCTCG